GGGAGGGGATATAGAGAGATATAAACATACATGCATACATATATGTTTATGACTATTTGAAAATTAAACAAAGAAGACTCTGTTAAATATTGAATATAGTGCCCACTGAAATAGGAACACAGTAAATTCTAGTTCCCTTCTGGTATAATCTTTTCAAACCCCCCAGTCCTAACCCTTCATGTGCTCAATGCTTGGGTGGCAGCACAGTGTTGGAGTGGTGAAGCTCAACATCAGCACACAGCTCTTCAAAGAACAGAGTGCACCTTAGCTTGTCCAAGTCACTTGGTAGACCTGGTCTTAGCAACATTTAATTGTACATGTTGCAGATCAGTTCCAAATGTCCTCTCATAGCCAGGCTCTTAGGCTAACAAAAGTCTGCGGCCTGTGCACTTGCACAGGTAGACAGAAACCTCATTCATTCAGCCACCCCTCACTGGAAGTGGGGCAGGTCCTGGACGGCAGCTGTGATGAAGCTCACCCTTCTTTGAAGAACAGGTTGATTACTAGTATAAATCAATTACATATAAGAGGGAGTTTCATGTACTTGAGAGAAGAGTTATGTGCAGGCCATTAGAAGCATTCATTTACACACAACGTGCTAATTACAAATCATTATCTATTAACTAAGACCAATTTCTAGAGGATGTTTCCATGCTGAACCTTAGTTAAATTAATGGGGAATTACTGAATTGGCTTGAAAGTGATGAAACTGTGTTTCTTTAAGAGTGTTTTATCATTCACACCAGGCCTCCTCCCTGATTATTGCACATGAGCAGAGCTTCGTGCATGCCTGTGTGCACTGGCTGTGGGGCTGGCCCTCTCCCCACGCCTTGGGAAGCTTTGCTCACTTCAGGGGCTTGGTCTTGGAAAGGGACCCCAGAAGGGAAGGGGATAGCTAGACACCCCCCCCCACACACACACACACAAATGCTAATTACCAGCCTGTGCACACGCCAAGCAGAGGGAACTAATTCTTGACTTCAGATATCTTGAAGGCTCCTGTGATACCTTTAACCTTTAAGGTCCCCTAAATCAGACAAGAGTGCAAACAAGGAGCAGTGGGCTGGGGACACCAGGCAATTCTGAAGATCCTTCCCCACTAACCAAAGGCTTCAGAATTCCATAGCTTTCTCAAGTTCCATCAGGTCTTAATTGAACCAAGTTAGAAACATTTTGGTCCTCCAGAGCATATAATATTTGGAGTGGATTCTCTCTTTTCATTATGTGCTTTTCTGTGTATCTTTCTAAGGCTGTTGCATCTGGTCACGTAGGCAGGTGTGATGGAATGGCCCCACTACCAGGAAGCCTGTTCCTCCTGAGAAGTACTGATCACAGACCTCTGCCCTGGCAGGAGGATGCCTGAGTGATCATGAGACCTTGTACATCTCCACTGTCTCTTTGTCTGGGGTTGCCACACCTACGTATAACAGAGAAAATGCAGGGAGGAGGAAAATCAGCTACCGTGCCCTATAGCGTCTCGTGTATACCTCTAACTTAAAAAGCTTATCTAGTAAAATGCTTTAGCTGCTGTGGCAATATGGCAGTTCCTCAAGAAGTTAAACAGGCCTGGCTGGGCGTGGCTCAGCGGTTGAGCACCACCCGGGATCCAGGAGATTGAGGTTCGATTCCCAGTCAGGCCACATGCCCAGGTTGCAGGCTTGATCCCCAGTTGGGGGCGTGCAGGAGGCAGCCGATCAGTGACTCATTCACCACTGATGTTTCTCTCTCTCTCCCTCTCTCTGAAATCAACAAAGATATATTTTTTAAAAAGTTAAACAGAATCACCACAAGATCCAGCAATTCCATTTCTAGGTACCAAAAAAACTTGAAAGAAAGGATTCAGACAGATACTGGTACACGTGTTCATTGCAGCACTATTCACAATAGTCCAAAGATGGAAACAACCCAAGTGTCCATCCACAGGTGACGGGATAAACAAAGGTGGCATCTCCATCCCTGGAATACTCCTCAGCCTTAAAACAGAAGGAAATCCTGTCACATGCTACATCATGGATGAACTTTAAGGGCATTATGCCTAGTGAAAGAAGCCAGGCACAAAAGGACAACTAGTATATGAGTCCACTTTTATGAGGTATCTAGGTATTGAAATTCATAGAGACAGAAAGTAGAATGGTAGCGGCCATGGGTTAGGGGAGGGGGGAGGGGGAGTTATGCTTAGTGGGGACAGAGTTTCGGTTGGGGGTGATGAAAGTTCAGGAAATGGATGGTGGTGATGGTTGTACAACACTGTGAATGTACTTAATGCCACTGAATTATACACTTAAAAATGGTTAAAATGCTAAATTTCATGTTAAGTATATTTTACCCCAATAATAATTTTTCAGAAAAGATGATCTAGAATGGTAGCATGTGGACCCTGTAACCAATTCTTTTTTAAAGAAGGGAAATCAGTAGTTGGCGGTATTGGGGACATGCCATGCTGGTGAATGCTGGGTAACTCACAGCCTTGACTTTGAGGAAGGGCAGAGTGCCTTGACCATGGAGGAGGCTGGATCAGGGAGAAACGAACTAACCCAGGTGGGTCTTCTCTCCCGTGCAGGTTTCAGCACAGCCAGTCCCCCAGGAGCCCAGCAGAAAAGATTACGAGACCTACCAGCCGTTTCAGAATGCCACGAGAAATTACGACGAGTCCTTCTTCGAGGACCAGGTCCACCACCGCCCTCCAGCCAGCGAGTACACCATGCACCTGGGCCTCAAGTCCACCGGCAACTATGTCGACTTCTACTCGGCTGCCCGGCCCTACAGCGAACTGAACTATGAAACGAGCCACTACCCCGCCTCGCCCGACTCCTGGGTGTGAGGCGGGCGGCACCAGGCGCTCCGGGAACAGTGCATGTGCATGCATACCACGAGACATTGCTTTTTTTTCATTTCTTCCCTGCAAATTTAGTTCGCTAAAGCCTGTTCCGTAGGAAGGCTGTGATAACCGGTAAGGAAACCTTGAGAGCTATTTTAGACAGCTAAGTGAGTCGGAAGGTAACTTGGACGTCAATAGAGAGCTAAAGCGACCCTAAAGCTGGCATCGCGGGACACCTTTCTAGCGCCAGCTGTAGGGCATGAGAAGTGCTGTGCAAGGAATGTGGCTGCAGAAGGCACAGCAGGTGGCCGGGCGGGGCCGGGGACGCGAAGGTGATAAGCACAGAGGCAGGCAGCGAGGGTCACACGCTTCAGAGGGACGGCTTCTCACGCTTTCTTTACTCTCGTCATCCGTTGTGATTCTAGGCTTCCGGTTGCATTGGGTTCCTCTGTACAGCAAGGTGTTTCTTGCCTTTTGTTAATGCATTGTTGTAAAGTATTTGATGTACATTACAGATTAAAGAAGAGAAGCGCGTTGTGTATATTACACCGATGCCGCAGTGTTTCCTCATCTATGGTTCTAAATATTGCTTCAATCTCAGACTTTTGAAAGATGTATGGATTTCCAGTTCTTCTTTTCTTTTCTTTCTCTCAGTATGTTTTAACAAAACAGAACAAAACAAAAAAAATGGGAAAAAAAGGAATATTTAGCAGTATTGTTCGTTCTGATATGTGAACTTGTTTGTGGCAACTAAGCAAGGCATTCAGCAGTTTCTGACAATTAACACACATCATTCCACACTCCTTGTCAACAAAGTGCTTTTTCACTGCCTAAAATTTTAGATGTAGATATTTGAAATAGATTTTTTTCATTTATACCAATTTTCTTTATGATGATACAGTGTTAAAAGAAAATAAATTACAATTGATCTGTCATCCATATTTGCTAAGAATGTCTATTTCCAAGGACCTATCTTACAAAATACACATTCTTGCTCGTGCGTCTGTGCGTGTGTGGGTGTGTGTATGTCCACGTGTGCATAAAAACGACCTGTGTGAGATTTTATTTTGACAGAAGCGATTTCATTGCTGTTCATCTTGTACAAACTTTGTTTTTGGTTTTTAGTGTAAATGTACATCAGTTTGTTCCTTTCGTACTCTATCTATTCTTCTGACCATCTAGTGACTCAGGATATTAGGCCAGTTGAAGTGAAGTTATAGGATTTTCACACATTCACACATTCTCGGATACCAACTCTTTCTACAGGTCCATTTCCCTCCATGTTTTATGCCCTCAGAACACGATAAACCATGGCCAACTCAATAATTTCACTTTGGGGCCAATTACTTGAAGTATCCACAGAAAATGTAAACTGCTCGCCTTATTACTCCCCAAACGTTTTTGTTCATGTGGCAGGGAGCAGTAGACAATGATGGGTTAGAGTATTAAAACTGAACTTGAAGCGAATGTTAGGATAGTGGTTAACAGAGCTAAGAATTAAGACTAACCATTTAAAAGAACACGGGCTGTGGGTAAATTAGCTTTGCTCTTTAGATGCAAGTGACTGAGGCCAATAGGTGCCTAGTAAATGTTAACTGTTCTTGGAAAAAATAAAAAATTAAATAACAAAAGAAATTGGCTGCCATCTTCCTTTAAAACTTGTTCCCCTTCACTCTCCAGAGTTTAATTCAGCTCAAAGTCTAAAATCACTGTTTCCTCCAAATTTAAAAGCAACCAAAAGATTCTTTGGTTCATGCATATTTTTGTGAATGAAAAGCTAATTTCCAGAATACAGCAGTTGACAGAAATTTCCATATGAATTGTACTACAAATTACCTACACGCTGGACCCTGTTGGGCTGTTTACTATAGGACTCTACGTTTCTGGATTCCCTCCCAGGAATGCTTCAGTCTCTAGAGAAAGAGATAAATATGTAGCATCAAGCACAATGTTTCTACTTCATCCTTGTCATAGAATGAAATAGCGAAGTTCATTGTGGTAGAGATTGTGGTATAGACGTTACTGTCAATAACCGAATAGCTGGTTTACCTTGTCCAAAATTAACAATAGGACATGTTCCCTAGTTTGAGTTGTGGAGAGGGAAATTAATGCATGTGTTAAAAATTCCCTCTCCTGGCAGGAACTTCACATTTCCTTTATGATTCTGAGTGTGTGCATGCCTTACATTTGCAACCCTTGAAGGCCAGGATGTCTCTGCTGCCTGTGATACTTTGCGAACGTTGTGCCAGGCTGGGATGGACTAATTCAGCCTGGAGCCTTTGGCATCAGAGGTAGAGGTAGAAGAAACATAAGTACATAATTACTGCCTTCTCTGAGCCACAACTCCCAGCCCACACCTCCTGAGGAACTCATTGACATCAGTCCCTACGTCCTGCTGAAGACAAAGAGCACCTAAGAGCATTTGTGGCAAATGACACATTGCTACAAATGAATAGCTCCAGCTTCCAATTGCCAGATGTCCAAGGACAGGTGCTATAGTGGGTTGGCAAACAACTGCTTTACTGGCCCAGACCCATTCATGAGCTCCATTAGGGAAATATCCCAACCAGATATTCTGTTCACTCAAGACTTAAGATCGGAAGGACAGCCTTACTTACTTGCTCAAGAAATTGTAACTCTTATAAAAAAAAAAAAAAAAAAAAAAG